CCTCTGACTGGAAGTAGGACATCTTTAAAAAGGCCTCTCTTGCAGATCTTAAAAGAATATTATAATGAGACAGATGGTCCCATACGCAAATCTTCAGTCATTTAGGGATTTAAAGATCAGTATCGAAACTTAAACTATATCCGGTAAGAAATCGATAGCTTTATTTATGTGTTGTTGCAGATAAAGAAACTTGAAGAGTTTCTTTCTGTTAAGCAATTGCTCACATTTTTAATTCATAAAAAAGGTATTTGTGTTTGTTTGTGTACTCCATGTAGGAGGTGTTTGAGAAAAAATTCATAACAAAATATGACTCTAGGAGTCTAGAGCAATGTAAACAAAAACCGTTCCAAACTATAAGAACAAAACAGGGATTTTACATACCAGGCTTCCCAGGACAAGCACATTATGCCAGTATAGTTTATCTATATCTATGTTAGTGGCTATGTATGGTAAGTTGTACAAGTAGTCCTTGACCTATGACCCCAATTGAGCCCAAAATTTGTGTTGCTAAGTGAGACATTTGTTAAGTGAATTTCCCCCCATTTTACAACCTTTCTTGCCACATTTGTTAAGTTAGGAACATGGTTGTTAAGTGAATCTGGCTTCCCCATTGACTTTACTTGTCAAAAGGACACAAAAGGGAATTATGTGACCCCAGGACACTGAAACTGTCATACATATGAGTCAGTTGCCAAACATCTGAATGTGACCAGGGGATGCTACAATGGTCATAAGTGTGAAAAAGTCATTTTTTCAATGCTGTTGTAACTTTGACTGTTGTAAAATGGACTGTTGTAAGCCGAGGACCACCTGTAGTAGCTAACAGCAATACCATACTGTTTTGTTATTTAACATATTTATATTCTTCCTTGTCTTATCCACCCCAATGCCTGCCTCTCCATGTGTTTGTTCTCACCAACCCTGTAAAACAGCTTAGGCTAGCTGTGAGCTTCCCGGCTGAACAAGGATTGCAACTTTGTCCTCCCTTTTCTATTCTGACTGGCTCTTTAACATACCAGAGGACCTATTTAGTGTGTTAAATCTCCCTGTCTGTCTCCTGGAGATAATCCTTACTCAAGGGATCAGGCATTTACCTGTTTGCCAACCCTGATTAATTTAAAAACAGTATAATTGAGGGGGAAATGCCAAGTGCATCGATACTTTGTTGTTTCTAGAATGAGTAAACTTTGCTGTTCTTTGTTCTTCCTTCTCCCATCCTTTGGTTTATATTTCTTTGCTCATAGTATGTAATGCCTGGACACCACATGTTGCTGTTCTTGGGACAGCTTCCAACTGTTCCCCGCACTCTACTGCTGTGTGATGCATTTTATTATTATGACTATTGTTATGGTTATTATTAGTCACCAGTAGGTTTTTGGCTTGGGAGTCACTCCTGATGATTAAGGCAATTGCTGAAGCTTGGAGTATTATAGAAAAATTAATTAGGGTTGATCTCTGTCAGTTTACTGACAAACTATCCTAAAGGAAAAGTCCAGGAGAAATGTAGGTTCTTTTCAGGTAAATTGGATGTCCTCTATTCTGCCTAGGACAAGAGCTGGCAACTTGCAGGTTCATCTTCACCACTACAGGTAGTCCTCGACTTACAACCATTCATTTAGTGACCGTTTGAAGTTACAGGAGGGCCTTCTCTGTGGCTGCTCCGACCCTCTGGAACGAACTCCCCGTGGAGATTCGTACCCTCTCCACCCTCCAGGCCTTAAAACCTGGCTGTTCCGACAGGCCTGGGGCTAACGACTCGTTGCCCCACTCGAATGGTATGACTGTTGTGCTTTTAACTGTGTATGGTTTCATGTTTTTTTGTTATTTGTTTGTATTTCCCCTCCCTTGAGTTGTGAGCCGCCCTGAGTCCTCGACTTACAACTATTCATTTAGTGACCATTTGAAGTTACAATGGCGCTGAAAAAAGTGGCGTATGGCTCTTTTTCACAGTTATGACCGTTGCAGCATTCCTTTGTCATGTGATCAAATTTCATGATTCATATTTATGACAGATGCAGTGTCCTGGGGTCATGTGATAACCTTTTGTGACCTGCAAAGCAAAATCAACGGGGAAGCCTGCTTCTCTTAACAACCTTGTTACTAAATTAATGATTGCAATGGTTCACTTAACAACTGTGGCAAGAAAGGTTGTAAAATTGGACAAAACTCACTTAACAACTGTCACTTAGCAACAAAAATTTTGGGCTCCGTTGTGGTCATAAGTCAAGGACTACCTTGTATTGCCTGGCTGAGAATCATGATCAGAGGGAGCAAGGAAGGGACCACAGCAATCCAGCTGTGGCATATTGTTAAAGCCACACCAGTGGTGAGATTCAGCCAGTTGGCACCTATTTGGGAGAACCGGCTGTTAACTTTCTAAGCAGTTTGGAGAACTGGTTGTTGGAAGAAATCACATTTTGTTTTTTTCCACTGTACAGGGCTAATCCTGTAAGGAAGGCAGGAAGGAAACATTCTGGTGTTGTTTCTAGCCTAATCTTTATTGCCCTGCTTACAGAAACTGCCTCTCTGGTTAACCCTTATTACATTGTAACAGCTAAGGCGAAGCACCCATCGACATGAGTGACGTTGAGTTGGCCAGGCCCACCCAGTCACATGACCACTGAGCCCCACCTACCCAGCTGGTCATTAGAGCAGAGAACCAGTTGTTAAATTAGTTGAATCCCACCACTGCACCCATTTAGGAATCACACCCTTGGCCCTCATGGCAGGCCTGTCAAAGGATGCCAGGCTCCATTTTATCTGGGTACCTTTGTCTGGGTAACATTGACAAAAGATGGTTGCCTGAAGATAAAATCTAAAGATTAAATTACATTAAATAATCAGAACTTGGTAACATTCTACGAGTTCTGAAAGAAATGCCTCTTACTGTAATTTCCATAGTTCTTTCTTTCCTAGATCCCTAGATCTCTGCTTTCTTATCATTTTTGTGCTTGTTTGTATAGAGTCAGTGCATTTTCTTCAGACAGAGTTTCTACCTTCTTTGTCCTAGATAATTAAAATAATTAGAATGTTCAGAAGCACAGAGATGTCTCCTATGTGCAAGTGATGTAAATAGTACCACCTAGTGATAATTTCTACACAATACAGGAATTATATCCCAAGATATTAGAAATAGTGGCATTTTGGAAACAGCAGCCAGGAATATATACCGTATATCATGACCCATATGCAGGTGAAATCATCCTTTGTCATCGTGGTATTGATCAAGAAGGAAGCGGGGTAAATAGTAATAATTTATTTTTAAAAAAATTATCCTTTCAGAGCACAATAAACCATAAAATATTCTAAATCATTGTGACAAGGTTAACATAGTGTAAGGCACACCTTGACAAGTAAGGCACATTGCTGTAACTTTGGTTTTTTAATAAGCCATAATACTTGGACTTATACAAATGTAAATCACAGTCAAAGTATATTATCCATAGTATGTGCAAGCCTATAACCTGTTCTGCATAATTGTTAAAATAACAAATGGCTTAGTGTACCATTCAGTTCCATACATTGATTGGCCTCCGTTTCCATAATAGTCTTTTTGAAATTGTCAGGATTTGAACTCAAGTACAGGTAATCCTTGACTTACAACCATTTATTTGGTGCCCATTTGAAGTTACAACAGCTCTGAAAAAAGTGATTTATGACCATTTTTCACACTAATGACCACTATTGTATCCCCATGGCCATATGATCAAAATTCATATGCTTGGCAATAGTTTCATATTTATGACGGTTGTTGTTTCCTGGGATCATCTTTTGCGACCTTCTGACAAACAAAGTCAACGGGAAAGCCACATTCAGTTTACAACTGTGTTACAAACTTAACAACTGCAATGACTCACTTAACAACTGTGGAAGGAAAGGTCCTAAAATGTGGGGAAACTCACTTAACAACTGTCTTACTTAGCAAATGAAATTTGGGACACAATTGTGGTTATAAGTTGAGGACTACCTGTATACGTGGTTCAAACGTGGTCCTTAAGAATGTAAAAAGAACCCTACTGAATTAGTAAATTCTATCTTAATCCAGCAACCTGTTTCCAACAGTGTCCAAATAGTTATCTTCTGACAGTCTACAAGAAAGAAAATTAGCACATAAAGCAACAGTATTTTTCCAAAAACGTTCTTATTAGTGGAAGAAATATTACATAGACATATAGAATAACAGAGTTGGAAGGGATCTTGGAAGTCTTCTAGTCCAATCCCCTGCTTAGGCAGGAGACCCTACACCACTTCAGACAAATGGTTATCCAACTTCTTCTTAAAAACTTCCAGTGTTGAAGCATTCACAACTCCTGGAGGCAAGTTGTTCCACTGATTAATTGTTCTAATTGTCAGGAAATTTCTCCTTAGTTTTAGGTTGCTTCTGTCCTTGGTTAGTTTCCATCCATTGCTTCTTGTCCTGCCTTCAAGTGCTTTGGAGAATAGGTTGACACCCTCTTCTTTATGGCATCCCCTCAAATATTGGAACACTGCTACCTTGCCTCCTCTAGTCCTTATTTTCATTAGGCTTCACATACCCAATTCCTGTAACAGTTCTTCATGACTTTTCTTTGTAACACTTGCCACACTTACCAAGCAATAGGTTGACCATTATGGATTACATTTGTATTAACGTTAACGTATTTTAAACTTGCTTTACACTTATTAGCAAGAGGGAATATAGGAATACTTTAAAAACCAGAGCGAGTTTGTATTTTTTTGGGACATCTAACGGTGGTCTAGATTTTCACAGCCCCAATCTGGTAGCCTGAATTGAAAGTTAATTTGCTTTTAGAATTCATATTTAGTTTCACAATACTTTTTCACAGAAATTAGCAGCCTTATAATGCCAGCTTTACTCCAGTGGCTTGAAGCTGATGGCTGCTGATTTTGCGGAAATCTATAGAAGAACCCAGATTCAAAAACCCCAAAACCAGAAATATCTCAAGAGGAGCGTGTGTTTTTCTGGGACCTTTTCAAGTGTTGCTTTTTTCCTCCTTCAGGACATTTATTCAGAACAGCTGGGGATCAACCGTGTAACCTGTCCACAGTGTCGAGTGCCTTTCCAATGGTCAGCCACCCAGTCTTTGGTCTACAAACAGCCAGCTCAGGGCATACAGAATTTGGTGGCTTGGGGTCACTTGGTACACCCATAGCCTTAGCAGCGCACCCCCAGCTAACAACTTTTCCAGGTAAACAAGTCTATGTGTTCAAAAAAATCTTCCATTTAAAAAAAAATTGCTTGAAGATGCAGCCACAAATGTTCCTTCAAAGTAAAGGGGCATGGATTTTATATTTTGCATACTAAAGATAAATGGTCAGCCTTTTTTCTAGTAAGGTCCAGATTCTACCACATCAGGAATATCCCTAGTATTATATACATTGATCTGAGAATACACCTTTGATCTTTGGGAGACTTACTCATGAGTAAGTACAGTTGAGACAGTTGCGTTGCATGGTTAGAAAGAGAATAGTAATGCATGCTGGCTGGTTCTAGGTTGTTTTTGCTTTATTCTACTCATGTTCCCATCACTTGTTTGTTTGTTTGTTTGTTTGTTTGTTTATGTTTCTAATCTACTTGTAACAAAAATTATCTAGGTAGGTTATGATTTGCTTTGGCGCTAATCTGAAAATATTGTCAACATCCTAAATCAGACATCTCTAGGCATGTTTTTTTAAAAAACTGAATAGAAGTAAGTCACCTGTTGTTTTATAAAAGACCTTTCCGTACATTTGGTTTACATATTTCTAACTCAAATCTATTTGAACTTTTGTGGAATGAAAAATATCTGATCAGCCTCCAAGTGCTGAGAATCGAAATCTGGCTTTTCTAGCTAAACATGAATTGAGTTGGACACTTTATTTGGAAAACGGACCTGGTTATTGAAGTCTTAAAATACTTATTTTCCAGAAACTGTATGATGTATGATTATTTTGTAAGGCTACAATCCTATGTACACATCACAAAATAAATCATGTTGGAAACCTATTTCTGAGTAAGCATGTGCTAGCTTGCACTATGAGTCTGCAATTTTACGCAACTTGGTTGGGAATAAGTTCTACTGGATTATTATAATTGGTGATTATGATGGTACAGCTTTAATTTAGGGCTCTCAAAGGTAGGCATGTTTGCATCTTTCAGATTATAATTAAGAGACTGAGAATCTTAATTTTTAAAAAGGAAAGGGGGAAAAAAGTCTGCAGTTTTATGCACACTTGTTCTGAACTAAGTAAATTCCACTGAATTCAATGATACTTTAGTATACCTAAGATTTATCATAAAAGTTCTACTCATCTATCAGAATTGTAGCACAGCATGTGGCTATATAATTGCAAAACTATGTTTTATTTGCACTTGATGTGTCTGTATTTGGATAACAAAACTTTTTTGCAATAACCTGTTTTTAAAATATATATTTGCCATACACTTAGTTATGTGGCAGATGTGACTTAGTTTTAAGAGTGTAGTTTGCAAATCAAGTGGACATAGCGTTTAAGACTTCTGGATTTTTAAAATCTATCTTAAATTAAAATCTGAAGGGTAATTTGTGGTACATATTTAATGCATTGTTTAACTATATCGAAATGGGCTATAAAGCACATTCTGTTGTTGACCAGAATAAAAATTAATTTAGACTGTTTCTTTTCTATCTGTCAATATAGTATCAGTTCAAGATACATCTAAGGTCACGAATGGAAAATCTGTGGTTTATGGGTTGAAAGTGTCATGTATAAATTCCGTAAATCAGCGATGGCGAACCTTTTTTGGCTCGCGTGCCATAAGTGGGAGGAGCGCAGGGAGGGTCGTGTGCAGGTGTGCCGCACCCATAATGCAATGTGCGACACCTCCCCCAGTGTGCATGTGCGCACTACAGGTGCTCCCCCCCCCCATTTTTTGCATGCTTTTTCGCCCTCCCCAGACTCCAGAGCCTGGGGAGGGCGAAAACAGCCTCCCCTGCCCCCCGTAAGCCCTCCGGAGGCTTCAGGGACCTTCAGGAGGACTTCCGGTTTGCTCGGAGGGTCATTTTGA